GTTGGAAATAAATAAAATCTGAATTTTAAAATTTTTCTTCATATTTTTCTTTCTTTTAAGTCAATCTTCCTTTCTCTTCATGTTTTTATATATGACGTAGCATTCAATTCACCTATTCTAATTTACACTTCCTTCCAATTCGTTGTATTGTCCATTTCACAATCATTTCCAATCCGATAGGGTACTTCAAATCAGGTCCCAGATGCCTCATTTCTTTCACTATGTGCTATCAGCTCCTGTTTTCAGCAAATCACCACAGAAAAACAATACAAACCTAAACATACAAGGGCAAATGCCATTAGATATGGCACTCTTTAAAAAGGAGGGACAGAAAATGAGAATTAAAGGCTGGTTAGCCTGACGTCAATGGTGGGAAAAGTGCTGGAATCAATTATTAAGGATGTAATAACTGAGCATTTGGAAAGCATTGGCAGAATTGGTCCTAGTCAGCACAGATTCACTTAAGGGAAATCATGCTTGACAAATCTTCTGGAATTTTTTGAGGATGTGACCTGTTGCGTGGACAAGAATGAATCGGTAGATGTTGTGTGCCTGGACTTTCAAAAGGCTTTTGACAAGGTTCCACACAAGAGATTAGTAAGCAAAATTAAAGCTCATGGCATTGGAGGTAATGTGTTGAAAAGGGTAGAGAGCTGACTGGCAGACAGAAATCACAGTTGGAATAAAGGGGTCCTTTTCAGAGTGGCAGGAAGTGATAAGTGGGGTACCACAGGGTTCAGTGCTGGGACCCCAGCTGTTCACAATATACATTAATGATTTGGACCAAGGAATTAAATGTTATTTCTCCAAATTTGCAGATGACACGAAGCTGGGTGGCAGTGTGTGCTGTGAGGAAGATGCTAAGAGGCCGCAGGGTGACTTGGACAGACAGGCTGAGTGGGCACATACTCTGCAAGCGCAATATAGTGTAGATAAATGTGAGGTTATCCACTGCGGTCACGAAAACAGGTGGCAGTTTTGGAACAGGGGAGGTGCAACAAGACCTGGGTGTCATGATGGAAGAATTGTTGAAGGTTGGCATGCAGGTGCAGCAGTTAGTGAGGAAAGCTAATGGCATGCTGGCCTTCATAGCGACAGGATTTGATTATCGGATTAAGGATATCTTGCTGCAGTTATTCTGAGCCCTGGGGAGGCCACACCTTGAGAATTGTGTACAGTTTTGGTCTCCTAGTATGACGAAGGACATTCTTGCTAATAAGGGAGTCCAGCGAAGGTTCACCGGACTGATTCCTGGATAGTAGGACCGACATGAGAAAAGACTAGGTCAACTGGGTTTGTACTCGCTGGAATTTAGAAGAATGGGGGGAGGGTGGGAATCTCATGGAAACAAAATCCTGATGGGTTTACAGGCTAGATGCAGGAAGAATGTTCCCCACATTGGGGAAGTCCAGAATAGGGGGTCACAGTCTGAGAATAAGTGCGAAGCCATTCAGGTCTGAGATGAGACAGAATTTCTTCACTCAGAGTTGTGAACCTGTGGAGTTCTCTCCCACAGGGAGCTGCTGGGGCCAGTTCATAAGATATAATCAAGAGGAAGCTAGATGTGACCCTTGCGTCTAAATGGATCAAGAGGTATGGTGAGAAAGCAGGAATGGGAAATTGAGATTACATGATCAGCCATTATTATATTGAATGGTGGTGCAGGCTCAAAGGGCTGAATGGCCATTTCCTGCATCTATTTTCTATTTATCCCTAGGCAGTATGCAGACAACTATTGTTCATTGCGTCTTAAGTATTAATTACTGTCACAAAGTTGAAGGGATTATACTTTTCACTGTTAAGTAACCAAAGCTAGAAATTGCTCTCCAGATTGTACTGAAACAACTTTCCAGTGCGTTAACTTACAAATTTGGGATTACGTTATACTCATTTGCTTGCCAGCCATAATGAGCAGAGCCACAGTGTAACTGTGATTCTGCACGTGCCTAAATTGATCAAATGACAAGATTTAAAATAGACTAACACATTAAACCACACTACAGTTTAGCAATTGACAGGAATTACATCTCTTCATTAGGAATTTGCATAACTGTACAAATTTGCCATTCAATCCAAAGCACTAGTCAAAAAGTAGCAAAGTAATTAGCTCCATAGCACTTGTCAAAAGTTACGCCTAGTATCATCATAAAGGTACATGGCAGAAAACAGTTCAGTATTGCAAGGCTCAAGACACAAAAATACTACATTACTTTTCAAATCTACAAAAGGTGTAATTAAAGAATGAATAACAAAGCAAATACAAAATTGTGGTGTAACGTACACAAGATATACTGACTGGAAATACTTTTATCCAAGAGTCAGTTGCTATCTTATCAGATTCACGTTAAATCTAAGGCAAAATTTCTTTAGCCCTACGGCAAGGATAGTGTAAATGGAAACTGAGATTGAAGTTTTACATAGAGTCATACAGCACAGAAACAGATCCTTTGGTCCAACTCATCCATGTCGACCAGGTTTCTCAAACTAAACTGGTCCCATTTGCCTTCATCTGGCCTCCAAACCTTTCCTATTCATGTACCTGTCCAAATGTCTTTTAAATATTGTAACTGTACCCGAATCTACCGCGTCCTCTGGCAGTTCATGCCATATATGCATTACCTTCTGTGTGAAAAAATTGCCCCTCAGGTCCCTTTTAAATCGTTTCCCTCTCACCTTAAACTTATACCCTCTAGTTTTGAGCTCCCCTACCCTAGGGGAAAAAAGCTTTGCTGTTCACCTTATCTATTCCCCTCATGATTTTATAAACCTCTATAAGGTCACCCCCTCAACCTCCTACACTCAAGGGAAGAAGTCCCAGCCTACCCAGCCTCTCATCATAACTCAAACCCTCCAGGCCCAGTAACATCTTTTCTGTACCCTTTCCAATTTAATAATATCTTTCCTTTATGCAGGGGGACCAGAACTATATGCAGTATTCCAAAAGTGGCCTCACCAATGTCATGTGCAGCCACAACATGACATCCCTACTCCTGTACTCAATGCTCTGACCAATGTGGCAAGTGTGCCAAACGCCTTCTTCACCATCATGTCTACCCGTGACGCTACTTTCAAGGGATTATGTACCCGAATCCCTGTGTCTTCCTGTTCAACAATACTCCTCAGGGCTCTCCCCACAGCCCAGTGGTACAAGTTGGCCCCTGAAGAGTAGCAACTTTAATGTTGGACCGGTCCAGTTTAGATGGCGGCGAGGCAGAGGAGGAGGAATGGTGGCACAGGATCGTTGATGAGCTGGGTCAGGACTGATGGACTCTCTAAGCTACATCTTTCTATTTATTTTTATTCTAAATCTATGTTGAACAGCGCCAGACCACGGCAACAGTGGAAAAACTTTTCACTGTATTTTATTGTTTATTACTGTAAATTTCATGATAATAAAATCATTCACATTCAAATTAACTGTGTAAGTCCTACCCTGGTTCGTCTTACCAAAATGCAACACCTCACATTTATCTAAATTAAACTCCATCTACCACTCTGTGCCCTATTGCCCCAGTTGAACAAGATCCCCATGTACTCTTAGATAACCCTCTTCACTGTCCACTATACCACCAATTTTGGTGTCACTTACTAACTTACTAACCATGTTTCCTATATTCTCATCCAAATTGTTTTATATAAATGACAAACGACAGTGGACCCAGTACTGATCCCTGCAGAACGCCGCTGGTCACAAGCCTCCAGGCCAAAAAAAAAAACCCTCTACCACCACAGTCTGTCTCCTACTGTTTTGTATCCAGTTGGCTAGCTCTCCCTGGATCCCTCATGATGGGACTTAACTAACCAGTCTACCATGCGGAACCTTGTTGAAGGCCTTGCTCAAGTCCACGTAGACAATGTCTACCATTCTACTCTCATCTACCTGTCCTCAAAAGATTCAATCAAGTTTGTTGGACATGATTTCACACATATAAAACCATGCTGACTATCCCTAATCTGTCCGAGGAAGAGAAGTAAGCTATTCAAATCCTCAAACCTGCTCTATCATTCAGCGAGATCATGGCTGACGTATGGCCTAACTCCATATACCTGACTTTTGCTCATATCCCTTAAAACCTGCGCTTAACAAATATTTACCTGTCTCAGATTTTAAATTAACAACTGATCCAGTATCCACTGCTGTTTGTGGAAGACAGTTTCAAACATCCTCACCCTTTGTGTACAGAAGCTTTTCGTACCATCTCTCCTAAACGATCTCACCCTAATTCTCAGACTAGGCCCACCTGGTTCTAGACTGCTCAACCTGGGGAAATAGTTCATCTTTATCTACGCTGTCCTTTCCTGTTAATATCTCGAAGACTTTGATTAGACCATCTCAGCTTTCTGAACTTGAGAGAAAACAGGCCTAATTTGTAAAATTTCTTCTCAGAATTTAACCTCTGAAGTCCAAGTATCATTCTTGTAAATCTATTGCATGGTATAAGCAAAGAGTGAACTACAGAAAAGAAGTGGAACTTTCTCCACAGATTCAGAGTAGAATAAATTTTTTTTATCTAATGTTATAAATCCAGCTTCTCTGCCTCCCCCTCACTATCTATCAACAACTGGCTCATTAACTTTGTCCAATGTATGTAAAGTTAAAACAGCAGTTGCTCAGCTATCATAAACTGGCTGCTAAAGGTTTAAAATGCTATGCATGTGTTAAGATGAAGTGATGACAAATAATATGATACTAGAACAAAGTGCAATAGTGTGGTGGAAAAAGAAAAATTACAAAATGAATTCTACATCCATAATAATGGAACAGGGAGGAAATAAGGTTGTGAGAGGTTGTCTTATCTTCAAAATTCCAGAATCATAACTTTAAAAAGAGCCTTTTTGGCTAATTTGTGGTTAAAATAACTATTCCAACTTGACAGATTTACTCACGTATGAATAATTTTATACTCTACATATTTGACAATAAGCTATTGTTTAAAGCCACAGAAATTGACTTTAAAATGTAGCTCAAGTGAAATATAAAAATGTTAGGAGTAAATTACCTTTACTACAATTATGACTTTTCCCTGCTTAAGACCAAGTGCAACAGCAGCTGCAGTTGTATCTTTGGAGGTTTTATCTGTGGTGATAATTTCCAGTAACTGCATCCTGTCTACAGGTGAGAAATAGTGCATTCCAATTACCTAGACATCAGATGATAAAGGAAAAATATTCATGAGTTCTTAGCAATAAGGTTGAAAGTCACATTAATCCCAAATACAAAATAGATGTCACCAGCTCATGTTTTTTCCAGAGGTCTATAAATATCAGAGTTGCTGTCAAGTCTATTTCCAACATTCTGAAATATGGGGACAAAAATCTGATCATCATAGGGCAGTTCACTTTATATCCATGATGTAGAAACGTTGGAAGATATTCTCCTTGATGACAAAAATGAACAATCTGAACAGCACAAGTATCAATGAGAGTATTCAGCATGGTTTTATGAATAATTCCTCAAAGTTCTACAAGAATTCCTTGGTGGGATAACCATGTCCTGGGTGACCTATACTGGAATGGGAGGTTTACTTGTACTTGAACCTATCACAGGTGTTCGATAAAGTTGCAAACCAATACTCAAGCCATTGAAGAAATATGGAAACATAGATGACAGGAGCAGCAGCAGACCATTCGGCCCTTCAAGCCTGCTCCACTGTATCATGGCTGATCATTCAGCTCAATAGCCTAATCCTGCTTTCTCCCCATAACCTTAGACCCCATTTGCCCCAAGTGCAATATCTAGCTGTTTCTTGAATACATTCAATATTTTGGCATCAACTACTTTCTGTGGGAATTAATTCCAAAGGCTCACCACTCTTTGGGTAAAGAAACGTCTCCTCATCTCCATCCTAAATAGTCTACCCTGAATCCTCAGACTGTGACCCCTGGTTCTGGACACACCCACCATCGGGAACATCCTCCCTGTATCTACCCTGTCCAGTCCTGTTAAAATTTTATAAGTCTCAATGGGATAGCCCTTCATTCGTCTGAACCCCAGCGAAAACAATTCTACTTTAGTCAATCTCTCCTCATGTGCCATTCCTGCCATCCCCGGAATCAGCCTAGTAAAACCTTTGCTGCCCTTCCTCGAAAGCAAGAGCATCCTTCCTCAGAAAAGACGACCAGAACTGCACACAATATTCTAGGTGTGGCCTTTCCAAGACCCTGTATAACTGCAATAACACATCTCTGCTTCTGTACTCAAAACCTCTCGCAATGAAGGCCAACATACCATTTGCCTTCTTTATCGCCGGCTGCACCTGCATGCTTACCTTCAGTGATTGGTACATAAAGACAGCCAGGTCCCACTGCACACTCTCTTCTCTCAATTTACAGCATTCAGGTAGTAATCTGCCTTCTTGTTTTGGCTTCCAAAGTGAATAATCTCTCATTTATTCCAGTTATCCTGCATCTGCCATTGATTTGTCTACTCACCCAATCTGTACAGATCATGCTGAAGGATCTCTGCACCCTCGTCACAGTTCACCCTCCCACCCAACTTGGTATCATCTGCAAACTTCAAGATGTTACATTTTGTTCCCTCATCCAAATCGTTATATATATTGCGAATAGCTGGAATCCCAGCACCGATCTCTGTGGCACCCCATTAGTTAGTGCCTGCCAATTTGAAAAGGACCCATTAATTCCTACTCTTCGTTTCCTCTCTGCCAACCAGTTTTCTATCCAGCTCAATGCACTTTCCCCAATCCAATGCACTTTAATCTCTTACACGGGATTTTGTCAAACATTTTCTGAAAGTCCAAATATACCACGTGGACTGGCTCCCCCTTGTCAACTCTACCAGTTAAATCTTCATAGAATTCCAACAGATTTGTCAAGCATGATTTCCCCATCATAAATCCATGTTGACTCTTTCTAAATGCTCCGCTATAAAGTCCTTGATAATGGATTCAAGAATTTTCCCACCACCGGTGTTAGGCTTACTGACCTATAATTCCCTGCTTTCTTTCTACCTCCCTTTTTGAATACTGGAGTGACATTAGCTACCCTCCAATCTGCAGGGACTGTTCCAGAGTCTATAGATCGAATCCTGGAAGATGAACATCAATCCCTCCACTATTTCTGCAGCCACTTCCTGAAGCACTCTGGGAAAGTAGATTATCAGGCCCTAAGGATTTATCTGCCTTCAATCCCATCAATTTTCCCAGCACCATTCCTCTACAAAAATTGATCTCCGTCAATTCTTGCCTCTCACTAAATCTTGCATTCTCCAACAGTTCTGGTATCTGATTTGTGTCCTCTTTTGTGAAGACAGAACCAAACTACATGTTCAGTTGCTCAGCCATTTCTTTGTCCCCTATCATACATTCCCCCGTTTCTGTCTATAGGGGACCTCCATTTGTCTTCACCAATCTCTTTCTCTTCACATACCGATAGAAACTCTTAGCATCAGTCGTTATGCTCCCTGCAAGTTTACTTTTGTACTATATTTTCCCCTTCATCAATCCCTTGGTCCTTCTTTGCTGAATTCTAAACTGCTCCCAAACCCCAAGACATATTTTCTTGACCAATCTGTATGCTTCTTCCTTGGATCAGATACCATCTCCAATTTCCGTTGTAAGCCCTCTTAAACATTTCATTTTTGTGACAGACAGGAATAAACAGTTGTTGCAGTTTCCCCATGCATTCCGTGAATATTTGCCATTGCCTATCCACTGTCATCTCTAAGTAACTCTCCCCAATTTATCAAAGCTAACTCATACCTCAATATCTACATAGTTTGCTTCATTAAGATTCAGCACCCTAGTCTCCGAATCAACTACCTCACTCTGCATCTTAATAAATAATTCTATCATGTTATGGTCGCTCATCCCAAAGGGGTCTCACACAGCTAGGCTGGAAACGGTTCCCTTCTCATTACACAGTACCCAGTCTAAGATGGCCTGCTTTCCACATATTGGTCACACTCCAGGAATTCCTTCTCTACAGCGCTGTGGCTAATTTGATTTGCCCAATCTATGTGCATTAAAATCGCCCATGATCACTGATATTCCCTTATCACATACATCGCTGATTTCCTGTTTAATACCATTCCCGAAATCACTATTGCAGCTTGGGGTCTATATATGACACCCACAAATGTTTTTTGCCCCTTGGTATTTCTCAACTCGACCCATACAGACTCCACATTGTCAGAGCTAATATCCTCTCTCACTATTGTGTTAATTTTCTCTTTAACCAGCAATGCCACTCCACCACCTTTTCCTCTTTGCCTGTCCTTCCTAAATACTAAATACCCAGGACATTCAGTTGCTGCCCCTGTTCACTCTGCAGCCATGTCTCCATAATCCCAATTATACAGTAACCCTTTACATTTATTTGCGTGATTAGTTCATTCACTTTATTGCAAATGCTGTTCGCATTAAGGCACAAAGCCTTTAAGCTTGTCTTTTTAACTGTTTGTCCTGGTCTTATTTTTCTCAATAGCTCTGTTTGAATTTTGTCCTTGGTTTCTCTGCCAATCACTGTTCTATCTTCTGTTTTTGTCCTTGCTCCCTCCTTCTCTGGCTCCTTACATAGATTCCCATTCCCCTGACATATTAGTTTAAACCCTCCCTAACCATTCTAGCGAACACTCCCTCTTGGACATCATTATGTCACGGACAGTGAAATTACAAGTTGTCTAACATACAGAACTTTGTTGTTGCTAATTAATAAAACCATAATGACTCATTCCTACAATACAAGTACTGTTCATCATGCTCATATTTACTGTCCAGCAGAATGCGTTCAATAAAGAGGGGGCTGAAAAGCCAAACTGTTTCATTGAAATGAGGCAACAAGGAAGGCTATTGATTCTAATTTAAATGCTTTAAATTTAGACCAGATGGCAAGAGTAATTTCTTCACAGGGTTGAAGCTGTGGAAATAATTTCTCAGGCTATTGGCTCAGATGGAGTCAACATTCTAAACAAGACTGGACTTCTGGAAAAAGGAAAAGAGGTTGAATGGATATGGGAACTGAAAGGGCAAATAAACTATTTATTTGCAAGAACCGTAAAAGCCAACATGAATTGGTCAGGGCAGAACCAATTGCTGCAATTTTTAGCTTTTTCTCAGTTTTCTGTCCAAAGGTGAGATTACTTGCTGAACTACAGAACAGCTGTGTTTTTTTCACTACAGGTAGGGTGAGGAGGCAGGCCCTGGGTCTACTTTGGTGGAATGGGCATAAAATACCCAGGCAATCGGAATTAATGTGATCCACATGCTAGTCACACCTAGCCAACTGAGCTAACTGGTTCTGAACTTTTATCCAGGCAACAGTCAAGTCTATTAACATTAAAAAAAATTGGCAGAGGCTGAAAATGGACAGGATATAGCGTTCTGAAGTCCTACAAGAGATAATTTCTCAGGTGCTTGAGTGAATTTGAAGGTACTGATGATAAATCAAGACAAGTTACTCCGATCATACAGATCTCTAGTGAAGCAGTTCTAGTGTAGGATATGTACTTTAAGTCTTTATCTCAAAATGGATATAGCTACAATATAATTCAGCATGATTTCAGATGCAATCAATTTATTCTTTCGTTTGTCTAATTTTAACTTGCTAAAATACAGTTTTTAAAAATCCAAAACAATTGCACAAAAACTACTCAACTGGTATATTAAACATACCTAATGCATTAATTTATTACAAAGCTCATATCAAAGATTGCTAAATTACAATTTCTCTCAAGAAGGAATCGTCATTTCCAAATGAGACAGCAAGGTGAAGAGCTGGATGAACACAGC